TTTTCATGAAGAACGAACACGCGGTGGACATGGAAGTCACTTAACGGTACGACTCATGCGGAGTTCGATCACACTCTCACCAACCGAAGGTGGTACTTACTGGACGTCTCCGTGGTAACATCTTTCAATAGTAGCTCAGATCACCGCCTCCTTCGAGCGAAAGTGCGATTCAGCCAAAAGTTGGAAAAGAATCTGCCACCATGTTGGAGGAAGAAGAGAAGTCGTAAGTGACGGCATCCGGTTGGAGGAGCTCCTGACCACTTGTGACTGACCCATCGAGGAGGACCCGACGAAAGACTTAGAGGACTGAGAGCCTGTGGTAAAAGTGCCTCAATGCCTCGCATAATAGCTTGGAACGAATTTCGAAAAGCACCGAAGATCTGCTAAAGAGGAGAAGAGCACTAAGGCTGGATCCGACTGCATCACATCTTGAGCACTGGTAGCCAATACCAGCTGCAGCTTTAGAAGAAATTCGAAAGTACAGGCAATCGAAACTTCTGAAAGCAGAACAAGGAATGAGGAGTCTGAAGAATTGCCGCAGGGACCTTCTTGACACTGAACGAAGACGAGACTCACATCCTCAAGGAGAAGATAGAATCGACCGCGAAGAGATTCTACACCAATCTCTTTCGCACATGAACATCCTGTCAGACCTCGTTATCCCCACTGGAAGAATACTACTACGAATTCTACCTGCTGAAGTACGCGCCGCAATCCAGACCATGAAGACAACCACGGTTCCAGGACCGCACCATGTTTCGGCCGACCTCTCACGAGCTGGAGGGTATCGCCTACACGAAATACCTGCGGCACATTTAAAGTCTTACCTTCAAAAGGAAAGGATCCTCGACCAGTGGAGAACCTCCCGAACAATCCTGCTTCATGAGAAGGGCGATAGGGAAGATCTTCGGAAATACCGTCCAATATGCCTGCTGAGCGTGCTTTACAAGCTCTTCACAAAGATCGCATATTAAGGACACTGGATAAAGAACAACCTGTAGAAAAGGCTGGATTTCGCGAGGGATTGTTGCGTAGATAACATCCAAACGGTTTCGAGGACTATCGAGGTTTGCCGAGAATGCCGCCTACCTCTCTTTCTAATCTTAGTCGACTATGAGAAAGCGTTTGACAGCGTCGAGACTAATGCCTTACTGTCAGCGCTCGTTGACCAAGAAGTAGACCTATTTTACGTGAGGGCTTCGGCCGACTGCTACAAGGACTGTTCTACGACGATGTAGCTTTTCCATCGCTCCCTTAACATACCAATTTCGAAGGGGTGTAACAAGGCGACACCGTGGTGTCAAAGCTGTTTACCGCCGCATTGCAGTGGATGACGAAACCACTGGATTGGAACGAAAGAGGTGAACGAGTTGATGAGAGGTTCCTGTCAAACCTTCGTTTTGTGGACGACATTGTTCTTTTCCCGAGGAATATCACTGAAGCGGAACGATGTTGAAAGCACTAAACGAAGTAAGGAGTGGATAGGACTGCGAATTGATCGGAAGAAGACTCAGTTGATGAAGAACGCTTGCGAGAATCAGGTAATGGAATTAGAAGGCTCTCAATTGCGGTGACGTCTTGTATATCTCGGGCTCGAGATGGACTGGTCATATAATGAGGAGGACAGACGACAGATGGACAATAAGGACTCTGGCATGCATCCTCGCGAAGTAAAACGTCCTCGAGGGAGGTCACCGACCAGATGGGTAATCGTTGCACGGATGGACCAGCTGAATCAGCTGGTAACGAGTAATCTCGCGAATGTTGCCGGCGCAGTTCAATATCAACATCGTGAATGATGCTAGCGAGAGAAACGGAGAGAAACAGTGCTGTGGCCTGCACGACGAGTGAAGACAGGCCAACTAAGTGTCTAAGTAAGTAAATAATCCCCTGATAATCACCGCTTCGACTGCCACTAATGTAGAAACATAAAACTTTGGAGTTTTTTGTGCTAGATTGGAACGCTGAGGAAATGGTCAGTTTAGATTGCTGTTGCACAACAGTAGACCGGTTTCAAACGCTACCAAATAAGGAAAAACATTTTTGATAAATTTTTTGCGTCACTCTTTTAGTGGACATCTCACAGCTTTATAATTGTGAAGACCCTGACGCTTATGATGCATACGGTCCTTAACTAAGTGTTCCGTTTGGATGTCAGGCCACTAAAATATTGACCTCGATAGCGGTGCCCCTTCTACGTGAAAGGATTTTTCAAAGCTGCCATTCAAAACTGAATTGGTCGTTGCTGACACATGCCATGCAAGATTTCTGGGCATTCAATGACATCCCTTATACCTGCAGAATAATCTTCGCAATATATGCCCTTATAAGGAAGCTTCTATCCGATTAGGTCATTCTGAGAACATCTAGACTATCGAGTCTCGAAATGCTGAGTCGAATCTGTATTCGATATCTGCCAAGATCTCTATGAAGGAGTTGATATGTGCGTGGTGCTGATCATAAGCACTAGCTATCCTCCTCGAAACTACAACTACAAGCTAAATCAGCAATTTATAAAACTCATCCTTGAGAAATCCAATTTTCAAAGGAGACTTGATTGAAGTTAGCGCTTTATAATCATTAATTTTTATAATATGTAGAGAATGTCCACTTTAACAAACTTTTCTTGCTAAAAACTCCCCAAAGCATATGATTTGATTCAACAAAAATCCTCTGTAGAACA